GACTACCTACCAAGAAGCCAGTGTAAGGATCGACAGACCAACTAGAAAAGAATTACAGTAATCCATGCAACAGATTACCAGAGCATGAACAAGCTCTTTGGCAGCATCCTGCGTATGCGGGCAATGTTTTTAAGGTAGAATGACAATGCTAGATCATTACACAATTATATATTACTCTTGAAGTATTATAACTATAGAAAATAGTTTCTAATCTTAAAATGAAAATTATAGTTAATCAGTGCAAATGTGCACATAAAGCATGTGTTAAACTGAGTATATATACATTTTTATTAATTATATGCTTTTCTCTTCTTCAGATTTTAATCCCCATTTCTCTATATGTCTCTATTGAATTAGTAAAGTTGGGTCAAATTTTCTTTGTGCATAATGACCTTGATTTATATGATGAAGATATTGACCTACCTGTTCAGTGCCGGGCACTAAACATCACAGAGGATCTTGGACAAATTCAGTATATCTTCTCAGACAAAACAGGAACATTGACTGAAAATAAAATGGTATTTCGAAGGTGTACCATTGTAGGGAATGAGTTTTCTCATCAAGAAAATGGTAAGTGCCAAAAAAGCATACAGTACTTGATGCAGATATATGGCTGTATTTAGTAAACAGATATCTAATATGGCTTGTAAAAAGTAGCTATTTACATAGGTTACTAGGGTAGTCATTAGGCAAGTTATCAATGGAGTCTGTGTATTTAAAGCACATTAGTCCCCTTATCTAGTTTTCATAAATATATTTATCATTACAGATGATGATTTTTGTTACAAAATATAAACCAGAAGATGCACTGCACTGTCATGTTTTCCTTCCTCCCTGTGACTGATGATTATGCTTCCCTTATTGTCACTTGCCTTTTTGGATATATCTATTATCTTTTCTTCCTGTATCTTGTCCTCAAACTCTGGGTGCTGTCATTTTGTATTCCTTTGTGTGTACTGCTTTTACTGATTATGGTTATATTAAATTGTCAGCTGAAGCAGAAAATAGCTGAAGCTACAACCATTGTCAGGTTTTGCCAATTTGAATGTCATACTTAAGTAAAAGAAAAATGTTTCCACATTCAAACCTTTTCCTTATGTTTTTTTTTTTTTTTAAAGTAGCAAAAATAAAATGAAATTGAGACACTGGGAGCTGTATAGTAGCAGATATATTAGATATATTTGGTGACAGATAAGCTTTATCTCTTCTTCTCATACTTACATCTATGGGGAAATTGCTATCCAGTTACTTAAGAAATGCTTATCTATTTTAAAGCAATCTAATCCTCAGAAAGAGAAAGAAGAAATCTGTGGAAAGAAACTAGATGTGCTGCTCTAAAAATGAATAAATATTGGAATTTGTGAGACCCCATGATTTAATTAGAGATAGATTATAGGCTCTTTCACATTAAGAAAAACAGTTGGATTTCTCTAACATTAATAAATTATTAAAACAGACAGATGGGTAAGCGCTTCTACAGTTTGATGGAAGAAGAATTTGTGGGCAGCAACACAACCTCACCAGGAGTCTATATCTGTCCACAAATGTAAATAACATGCAAGAAGGATGGGTGTTAAACCTTGGAATGTCAGAGAGGATATGGAAAATAAAAAAATAAATCAAAAGCGTGATACGTTTAGATAATAGAGTTATCTAAATTTGGTAAAGGTGCTTACACTCTTTAGAGCTTTGTATGGGCCTGAGCATTACCGCCTAGGTCGCCCTTTCCAGTTGTGATCAGCTCCAGAGTGACTATAACTTCTTGCACAGGTTATCACGGTATCACCCAAACACTAGTCGAGACTTAGTGAAGGGTGAAGAAGACTGGTTTTATTATGGCCAGATGACCCATTTATATACACAGCAAGGGTACAGGAAACCACGCCCAGAACACTCCCACAACCTGCCCACGAATCTCTTGTGTCAGCAAGACTAAGCATAAAAATATAAAACATCAAAAACACATATAAAACATAGGAACCCCCACATGCCATACATCCCCAGAAAGGTCTTCCTAGGGTGCACATTGTGTCCTAAAAGCGATCCGGCACAGAGTTCCAGCAGGCTGAATAAGATTTCCCAGTCATGTCCACTATACCTCAATGGCTAGGGAAGGCTGTTAGCAAGACGTCGATTGGGTGTCCCGTCACAGTTAGTAATAGTGGTAAAAGTTTAATTTGGAACACTGCAGCTTTAAAGAACCAAACCCAAATCCACCCCTGCAACAAGAAGGCCATTTAATTTGGAACACTGCAGCTTTAAATAACCAACCCCAAATCTATCCCTGCAACAATAAGGTCATTTAATTTGAAACACTGCAGCTTTAAAGATCCAAACCCAAATCCATCCCTGCAACAAGAAGATCATTTAATTTGGAGCACTACAGCTTTAAAGAACCAAACCCAAATCCCCTGCCCCTCTATTCAGCCCCTGTCCCTTTCCTCAGCCCCTGTCCTCCTACTCAGCCCCTGTTTCCCACTCAGCCCCTGTCCCCTTGCTCAGCTCCTATCCCCCTTGCTCAGCTCCTGTCCCCCTTCCTCAGCCCCTGTCACCCTTCCTCAGCCCCGGTCCCCCTTCCTCAGCCACTGCCCCCCTCCTCAGCCCCTGTCTACCTTCTCAGCCCCGTCCTTTTCTTCAGCCTTGTCCCTTTCCTCGGCCCCTGTCCTTTTACTCAGCCCCTGTCCCTTTACTCAGCCCCTGTCCCCTTGCTCAGTCCCTGTCCCCCTTCCTCAGCCTCTGTCCCCTTGCTCAGCCCATGCCCCCCCCCTCAGCCCTATGTCCCCCCCCCCACCAGTGCGCTGAGGGAAGAAAAGTGCTCGGTGGATGAAAGAGACATGCAAAAAGAATGGGGGGGGGAGACACACAAAGGGACTGGGGAAAGAAATACACAAGGGGGCGTATAAGAGACACACAAGATGGTATAAGACATATTAACCCCTTAAGGACACATGACATGTGTGACATGTCATGATTCCCTTTTATTCCAGACGTTTGGTCCTTAAGGGTATAAGGGGGGATAAAATACACTAAAGGTGGTAAGAAAATCAAAAGGGGGGTTACAAGACACACAGGTGAAGATGCATTTTTTAAAGGGGGGTGGCAAAATGCATCTTTGCCTGTCTAGCCAAAAATCCTTGCA